ATCTTTTTTCGACTTTCGACCGGCTTCTGTCCTCTTTCGTCTTTCTCCATCTTTCATCCCTGTCCCGCCGCCGCATGCTCGCTCTCCGGTAACGAGAGGAGAAACACCCTCGCTACTTTTAATCGACCCGCGCTTTCTTCTGCTTATACATACCTAGCCAGCCCTGCCCCACCCCATACTCATCTCCATCCTTCTCGTTCCACCTTCGAGCACTCCCAGCCCCCTCGCTTCTTACGTCTCATCTTTACCACCAACATCGTATATAAGTACCTAAGGGCGTTGTCTTTGGTCTTTCGCGTATTTTGCGCTCCGCTCACTACGAAATACGCGAGGGTAGTTCCAGGATTAAATGCAAAATGAAGGCCGCCGAGAAAGACGTTGAGACGGTTCCGAAGGATGGATGCTCGATTTTATCGTCTTCGTTTCCGTCTACTCTTTTTCTTCCCGGCTTCTGCATAATTTTTATTACGAAAAAAAAAAAAAAAAAATAGGCGTGAAAACACCTGGCATTAATAATCGTGAATGTTTATCAATATTTCAAGACATTATAAGTAGATGGATAAATTCAGCAAGTAAGAATTGGAAGGTAATCTATTACGCAGTACACGCGTTTAACTTATTTGCAAATGTAGACTCGAATCTTTTAAATAGCTCTCTTACACAGCTGAATGTTTCCTCGCAAATTATTCGATCCCACCCATTAATCCTTTGAAATTACACGATTTTCCATCCACAAATACGTAGTCTCCGAGAAGTCAGAAGACTGCCACTGGAAAGGAAATAAGTGAAATTATAGTAGCGATCAAAGCAATCAAAATCTCTAACCAACGAGTCGTCCAAACGACTTTCAATCTCGACAATCCTCGATCCGTATACGCGAGTTTAACGCGGAGGACAATGAAACGCTTTGTTCCGTGGCTGTGTGGACTCTTTTCTTACGTTCCGCTTCCACCGGTATCCAAAAAAGCACAACGATTCTAATAAACAAGGACTGAGTACAGGTGAAGGACGGGGAGGAAGGATTTTGACGCGTACGTAAGAATAGTTCCGTGGTTTATGGCCGATCATCATGGTGGTCGTAACGTTTCCTATATACATATGCTACGTAAAATACATATGTAATGACACACGTACAATGCACACTTATTGTTAGATAGAACCGCTGATGCCGCGTGTCCGTGCATTATCCAACATGTGTGTGTGCGTGCGTTTCTCATGCGGCTCTCCTGTACGAGAGATACATCACCTTGCGCACAGGCCGTACGCTTCAAACACACTGCAAGTCAGTCAGTTAACTCCGAGTCAGACCTTTCACTTCGTGGTCCAGAGAGCACGGCATGGTGCACGATGGTTCCCACAAGTGGGAGCCTTCACTGTCCGATGCTACAGTTTGTTCCTTGTTTCCAAGGAGCACGGGGAGATGGGAATCGGGCAGAAGTCCATGGACACCCATGGACCCTGATTGCTGGACTTACGGTTCTTCTTTCTTTCTTTCTTTCTTTCTTTCTTTTTCCTCTCTCTTTTTTTTT